AGTTAAACTACATAGTTTATATAGTTTATAGTCTATAGTTAAGCTACATAGTTTATATAGTTTATAGTCTATAGTTAAGCTACATAGTTTATAGTGCATCATAGTTTATAGTCTATAGTTAAGCTACATAGTTTATAGTCCATAGTTCAGCTACATAGTTTATAGTCCATGGTTTAGCTACACAGTTTATAGTCCATAGTTTAGCTACATAGTTTATAGTACATAGTTTAGCTACATAGTTTATAAACCTACATAGTTTATAGTCCTACATAGTTTATAGCATAGTTTATAGACCTACATAGTTTATAGTCCTACATAGTTTATAGTTTAGCTACATAGTTTATAGTTTAGCTACATAGTTTATAGTTTAGCTACATAGTTTATAGTCCACAGTTAAGCTACATAGATTATAGTCCATAGTTCAGCTACATAGTTTATAGTCTATGGTTTAGCTACATAGTTTATAGTCCATAGTGTAGCTACATAGTTTATAGTCCATTGTTTAGCTACATAGTTTATAGTCCATAGCTTAGCTACATAGAAGTTTATAGTCCATAGTTTAGCTACATAGTTTAGTTCAGCTACAAAGTTTACCTACATACCCTGCTACAGCAGGAGGCATAGTTTTACCTACATACCGTGTTAAAGAAAGAGGCACCTACATAGCCTGTTACATAAAAGAGACATAGTTTGTCTAAATCGTTTAGTGACATATTCTCCTAGATATATGCAATGATTTGCTGATTTCTGCTGCCGGTGACCCGTCGACCTGAGGTTGCAACATAGGCAGGCTAGATTTGTAATTTTTGTTTGGCTGAGGGCTAACCGAGAGACCTGCCTGTAAGGAAAAGTCGTGAGGGACATATCTGCAAATTCGGGAAAAATATAGGCCCGCACTAACTGAAATTTCCTACAGCTACCCTAACTGCGAATAGCAGGCCCGGGTTACCCCTAGGACGGACAGGCCCTAGTGGCCTGCCAATGAACGGTCCTATAGCCTATAGCCGAGTAGGGAAAGGCCGAGAGGCCGAAACTGAAACGGTACCGGTCGGCCCAGTCAGTCCGTCTAGGTCTAGGATAGGGTAGAGTAGTTCTATAGATAGTTTGTAGGAATCGGTACAGGGGCTTTTGGCAGTTGGTACCGTGTACGTCGCTGCTGTGCAACGCATGAACTGGAGTGGTGACAGCTTCAGCGTTGGAGAAGACACATAGCCGGACCTGCGAAGCGTGGGCCATAGCTGGGACCTGCGCTGTTCTCTGACAGCACGCGGGGCTGTTCTGAGGTCCGGGCTATCTGAAGTCTGCTGAAGGCTAGAGAAGTTGGTGCCCTGCTGAACCCTCCTCGGGAGTAAGGTATCAGGGTGTGTGGCGCTGCAGCCATAGCTACAGCCTTCGTCCTCAGAGATCATCTTGTCAGGAGAGGTGGCGCTGCTGCAGAACTTCATCCGTGAAGACACCATGGCACACCATCGTCATCAGAGACTGTGGCGCTGGTCTTCTTCTTCATCCTCTGAGAGGCGCTTGGCCTAAGAGGCCTGTTTCAGGGTGGCGCTTCCCTCTGGAGGCAGTATCTGGGTGGCGCTGGTTGTTTCAGGGACCCAGGCGTAGTAATAGCGGTTACTCAGGGTTGGGGAGTGAAGAGCTGCTCATCCCTGAGCAGCGCACCATGGTTCTGAGGTTATTCCGACATTCCGAGACTCTTGTTGAGTTTAATAAACAGTGCGAATACCGTGTGTGGACTATCATTGCTTCATTGCTTCCTGGATGTGATCTACTCGGCTTTCCTTTGTGATTGGTTGCGAGGATTCTGTGGAGCGAATTGCACTTTCAGTGTTTTCTGTCATATCGCATGGTCAAGTCTTCCGCTGTGTTTATCTCTCCCTGTGCGGTGTGATACTCCCATCCTCTCCCCTTCCTTCTGTGTATGTATGGGTATACCTGGAAGTCTATGTGAGCGAGTGTTCGTCTTCTGACAACAAACAACAAGGTTCATAACATATATGACCTCACATAGTTTAGCTACATAGTTGCAACATAGCACATGGTTTAGCTACATAGTTTACCTATATAGCCTGGCTACGTAACACAGGCACATAGTTTCTACAAAGTTCCAACATAGTACATAGTTTAGCTACATAGTTTACCTACATAGCCTGGCTCCGTAGCAGTAGGCGCATAGTTTCTCTACATCGTATAGCTGTAGCGACATAGCCTTCTGCATACATGACATTACATAGTTTTTACATAGTTTTAGCTAAATAGTCTTCCACACACAGTCCAGCTGCCACAACACATTGAGAGAGCTACGGCCCATCATCCTTACCTCTCGTCCTCACCGAACACAACACCCGGTCACTCTCGCTGCATTTGGGCCAACTTCCAGTCAGTCTAGATACACGGCTATAATGACCAGGGTGTCCAATTTTCCATGAAGACAGTAGGATAAGTGTATAGGTGCAGAATCTTTTTCAAACAACGACGAAACACAACAGACTGCTGTATTAAGAGGGGGGGAAAAAACAACAAGACAACCACAACAACAACGACAAACAGCAAAACGACAAACAACAAAACGACAAACAACATAACGACAAACAACAAAACGACGAACAACAAAACGACGAACAACAAAACGACAAACAACAAAACGAGAAACAACAAAATGACAAACAACAAAACAACAACAGAAGAAAAAAACATGACAAACAACGAAGAGGGGGGAAAAAAGGAGAAACGCATGCCATGACAGGATGACGACAAGAGAGCAAGCAACAGAAAAAAAAACAAGAAGGCAGTAAGGAATAAATACAACTAAAGTCTGAAAGTCTAAAACAGCTTTCCCTATTCTTGGAAGGGATGCTTCTTCTTCTTCTTCTTCTTTTTTTTTTGTTTTCTGGAAGGCATGTTTCTATGAGTGGGCCCATCATGGAAGTCTGACCCACACGTGCGTATGGTAATTTAACACCCTTCCTCCTCACCGCAA